TTTTACTTTATCAAGAAAATAATCATTCAGATGATTAGCAATTTGTACTGGTTTTGTCAAAAATGTCCCATCCACCTCAAGATATGTTGAGGTGGATTTCGGCTTACGGCCCATCATGCCATTCACTAAACTCCACAGTTTTTTCTTGTCATCCTTTATCTCTTTTTATTTAATGCTGTAACATAATTCCTTAACCTTCTATAAATTTGCCCATCTGACTCATAACTTGATGAGAGAGCTACATTTTTTGCATCATCTCTTTGTTTCATTAGATCCCTTAATTCCTCATCTAACCAGGGTGCTCTAAAGTTCCTTACAGTCTGTTTTCTAAGTGGAGCATGTTTATCAATCCCCTGCATAAATAACAAATTAAAGACATCAAGAGCATCATCCAGGATCGACTTTCTCAAAAACATGTTTCCAACATATCTTTTGAACATCCTGTATAAATGACTCTTCACTCAAATATTTCCTTGATCTCCTCACAATTACTTTTGGTCCAGCTTTTTGCACCTTTGTCTTTCTCACGATAATTATTAAATTATGATCAGAACACCCTACTGGAATTGATATTGCCTGAGAACATACATGACTAAAATTAGTAAATATATGATCAATACAAGTTGCACTTTTGGACCCATCTTTCTTTATGCATATCCTAGTAGGTTTAGTCACCATTTGTACCAAGTTACATGTATTAATTATTGTCTGCAGCTTGTTTTTAAGGGCACAGTGCAACATATTTAAATCTCCGATAAAATAAATCTCTCTGTCAAGATCACAAACTTTGTCTAACATTTCACATAATTTGTCAAAATAAATTAAGTTTGCATTTGGAGGTCTGTAACAACATCCTACCAACAAAGGTTTCAAGTGAGGTAAATTAATTTGCAACCAAAGTACTTCAATATCAGCAGACATCAAATCATATCTCACTTTAGCTGGCATTTGCTTTTGAATGTATACTGCCACCCCACCTCCATATGCATTCCTGTCTAAATATTTTATATCCATCAATATCCACAGCAGCGTCATTAAATGTGTCATCTAAGTGAGTTTCAGATATTGCTAACAAATGAATACCACATGATAATATTTCCTCTATCTCAGACACTTTATTTCTTAGACTACATATATTTATATGAGCCAATTTAAACCCTTTACTTGGTAACTTATTCAACATTAAGATGGCAATTTAAATGTTATCTCTTTTTCACTTCCTATCAAAATGAGAGCTGAACTAAAACATACATGTAACACAATTTCAACCACACACACCATCACATACATAACCCAACATTTATCTGCACATAGATTGCAATAAATGTGCATACACACTCGCTCAATTAGACGAGCCTCCCGGTAGCTCCCACATTTTTTTAAAATAATAGTATGAAATAGATTCATGGTAATGTCTCGCAACACTAGATCTAATCAATACACCAAAATTACATTTTAGGAGGAATGAACAACAATAGAGACAAGTTGAAATTTGTCTCTATTCAAAATCTAATAAACATAAATTCATACTCGCAGATGATGAAGTAAATAATTGAAAATAAATGAGTAGATAACTCATAGACCAGTGAATATTGGCCTATGAGTGATAATACTAAGATGTTAACACAAGTTGCACGCGTCACTGACCAACATTAATTCCAAGAATCATGCTGATGGAAAATCAATTTTTCCATGTATTTAATATTTTGTTGAAAGCAAAGGTATTACAAGAAGAGGATGCATACATAATGATGTATTATATTATTTGGATGGTAGTGGAGAGTGTGTTCCACAGTGGGGTTTGTTTTGTCCGTGCTCTATAGTTGTATCAGGGGGTAGATGAATCAGCAATTATGGAAACATTGAGCTATTATGAGCAGATGCATCACTGCAGTTATCTGCCAACTAAACTAAAGGAGATATAACCCATTCTCAAGCAGTTTGAGGCACACAGTAACTCCAGTCGTTTTTCCCACCATGCAGCTGTGGAATATGAGTTCAAGAAACACTTCAAAGTTATGAAACTCATTAATTAAAATGTGCTGTTGTTTTAGTGGAGCTTTAGTGCTGCTTACCGTAGTAGATGTGGCTGCACACAGAGCCTATGGACTGACTCTACAGCCACCGCCCTCAGCCACTGTGGCTTCTCCCCATCCAGAAACTTCACCAGCAGAGACAAGAAGATCTCACACTCTGTCACCTATATAAAACACACACACACGCACAGACACACAGCATCAGATTGGGACAGATGTTTGGCCAGCTTTGTCCTGTAACTGGAATCTGGCTAAATCCCATAATCCCTTTAGGCTTTGATGAAGCTATTTTGTAGCTCTCCTGACAGACGGGGGAAAAACTAATTTCCATTTCAAATGATATCATATCACTAATTAAAAACAGCTGCATTGGTTAATTGCTCGGATGCAGCTAAGCTCATTAAAGTGCCTAAAGCAGAATTAAAACAAAACGAATACTACGCTAATCCAATGCTAATCAGACCAGATCAATTAGCAGTTCTCTAAAGCATCCGTCAGACAGCAGTTCTGGCCGGTGGACCATCACTGCAGACCCCTCCCTTACCAGTAAGCTGTAGAAGTGCTTGATGAGGACCGAGACCACGCGCAGCAGCCTCATGCAGATGGGGAAATAAGGTTTCTCCACAGGAGCCGGTGAGGCGGAGCTGCTGCCCTGCCGGAACTTGATGTTGGGGGAGAAGAGCTTGATGACGAGGGGACACACTCGCTCCTTCAGGAGGAAGCTGAACTCCTGGTGCTGGGGAGGAAACGGAGAGAGAAAGAGAAGGGTATTACTACACACTACTACCCAAAACATAGGGCATGTTGGGATCAGGTGAAGCGTAGAAACATTAAGGATCACTACTGTTAAGGAGAGTTGGCTTCACTGCATTAAGCTGCATCTTTGATGTTAAGATACAATAATAAACGCAGGCGGAAAAACTAAACAGGAATCCAGTGATGTTAATAATAATAATAATAATGCATAATATTAATAATACATAATATTTATATAGCGCCTTTCACGAAACCCAAGGTCGCTTTACAAGTCGGATAGGAGGGGGAGTAGGGGAAAAGAGGCAGACAGGTTAGCGGGGGTTAGTCAAACTAACTATATAGTGGGGAAAGCCTAAATAGAAATGCATCTGTGACGCATCGAAATCCGAAAGGACAATGACACTAAATGACGTTGCAGCAACGTACTTGTTCAATTGTATTGTTTCACCAGACCATCAAAAGACAGTGCTTTACTACTTTACTGATGCTTGTGATAAAATATCTTACTCAATGCATTTTGGTTGATATCACATTTGATTTGTGAAAAGTAAAAAAAAAAGATTGTTTGGAGATACATTTTTCAGATCATAGAATATCCCCCAAATTATAACCAGAAAACATCAAACACAAGATTAACACCACAATTTGCAAAACATAAAAGAAAACTATCAACATAACTTAAAGGTGACCTATCATGCAAAATGCACTTTTGTACGTCTTTTATACATGAATATGTGTCCCCGGTGTTCCAGGGAACTCACCAAGTGTCAGAAAACACAACCCTCTCTATTTTCCTCCATACCCAAATCTCTTAAAAAGGGGCTGCAACGGATCTGATACAGACTGATCCAGATTTGAACACTTCTATGACGTCACAGAAGTGGCGCTACGGCTATTGGACCAACTCCACCAATCAGGAGGAGACAGCCACGGACATTGCCGTTGGAAAGCGCTGGAGACGCTGTAGTACATATGCCAGGCCTGTAGATGGTGCTGTTCTCACAGAATAAGCCCATGATGCAAAGACAGTGTTAAATTGAGCGAAATGAGGAATGGCTAAAATGCATGATCTGTTTGGTATTTTGAAAAATAAAAAGTATAAATATGCCTTATATAGGTATGGTCCTACACTATATTATTCAAATATAGCATGATAGGTCCACTTTAAATTATAAATATGAACAAAAATCACAAAAGAAATCAAGGTCATTATTTGTAACGTGCGTTTCCTTGGGTTTTATATAAGAGCTATCTTAATTTATTTATCTGATAAGTGTCCATCAGTGCATGTACCTGTAGGAATACCCCGGGGAAATCATTAAGAACAGACTCCAGCAGCTCCAGGCCGAAGGTCCGGGTCATCTCTGTCATCCCCACCAGCCAGTAGGGGGCGTCGGCATTCACCAGCTGACACAAGTCCTGCAGGGAGGAGAACAGCAGGGTTAAACAATGGAGTTTTATTATATGCTACACACATCACAGAGGATGAAACAGTGCTGTCACTGAGCTCTGCTGAAAAGATGATCACACACAAGTGCATCGTGGGTGAGGACGACAAGGGACATTTGGATCCCTTTTAAAATGCAAGATTCCCTTCATTGCAAAGATGAAAGGAATTAACAATTTGTATATTTCTTTAAAACTTAACGTCAAAGCTTCAATCAATTATTTAGAGTTTTGAGAACGACTTTGATTTATGGTCTCGTCCAACACTAGCTAAGATCATAAGCATGTTTCTAAAACAACTTGGTAGAAAGGTTTCCTCCCTTGAAGAGCACACAGAGCTGTGTAGAAGGGCGGCGCCCCCTGGTGGACGTACCTGGAACAGCATGTATGCATCCTTAGCACTGGGCCTCAGCGTGCTCACAGAGCGCCGGTTGGTGTTTCCCTGGACAGGAGGAGGATGCTCTACAATCCCTGTGGAGGAGTGACAAGTTATATATTAGTTGTTAAGCTTCTTTTGGCAGAAAAAATGTCAAATTAAAGAATCAGCAAGAAAAGTGTGAGCTCACAAAAACAAAGTCTTGCCAGATTTGAGAACACGTGAAAAGAAAATCTAATATCATCTTGATTGAACCTTCCGGGCTTTTCTTCAGTTTTGTTCATTTCTTATTTTCTAGTTGTTTTTCTTTAACTATTGCTTTTGCGTGTTTGTGAAGTTGTGATAACAGTTATTCTATGTGCTTGATGGTTTGTTTGATGATGTTTTTTTATGTTAACATACAGTAGGGTTTAATTCCTTTCATTTTTTTTTTCTATTGTTCGCATTTTTTTATCTTACCATTACAACAATAAGAAAATTACAATAAACTAAGACTGGATGTTACAATGAATCAATCACTGATTAATAAGCTTTGACCCTGACCTTCCATCAATCATACATATAACCTGGATACCAATCGGCACTCCCTACGTAGACACCTCCACATGAGAGCACAATGTCTTCTCTGTAAGAATGGTGCATCCCATTAACATTTCTACTTCCTTCCTACTATGTGAACTCTTAATGTTCCTACAGTAGGAACCAGTGCCCTCTCACCTTGGTAGCGCTCGTCCTCAGCCACCATCCTCTCAAAGACCACGGTGACCACCTGCCTGACGGTGGCGGCCGCCGTGTTGTTGGTGATGTTGTCCTTGGTGAAGTGAAGACGGAAACACAGCACAATGGCCTGGAGAGGGACAAACACACACACACATTATGCAGCATGTGAATACAAATACATGGTATGAAGTAAATAGAATTACTGCTACAGGTGTGGTCCATCAACAGAACGGGTAACAACATGCTAAGAATATATTTAAGCCATTACAGGTTACAAAGATTGATCTGGTTTCAGTAGGTGAGACTTAAGAGTTGGAAATATGTTGGTATGCTGTGAAATTGAACAAAAGTAGTGTTAAAATATAATTTGGCAATGTTCTACGATGATGCTGCCAGATCTGGTGCAAGGACACCATCAATATATGTATTTATAGGTATGATAAAACATTACAGCTGCAGTTCAATAATAGATGGAAGATGACTCACTACACTTGGCTATAAGGATAAAGTCCACACTAAAAGGAAGTAGGATGTATGTATATACTAAAAGCTGGTGCAATAAAGGAGTGTGTTGTTGTTGTACCTTAGAAAGTACTTCATCGTGTACCACTGTGTTGGTGGTGAGCAGCACCAGGACCGTCTGTAGGAGTTTCAGCTCCTCCAGACCGTTCTCCATCAGCTGCCACAACATGTTGATGATGTTCCCCGCAGCGGCCTGTCACACAACAAACACACACCTGTTAACATTCATCTCAATCTCAGCATATCATTGATCATCCACCAGTATGCACACACACAAGTATTAGCAGCTCAATTTACAAGTATCAGAGCTGCTACATTGTGACAGAAAAGGTCAAAAGAAGGACTGAGGTCACAGTCAGGTCAGACCACACACACACACACACACACACACACACACACACACACACACACACACACACACACACACACACACACACACACACACACACACACACACACACACACACACACACACACACACGGTACTGCCTGCTTGAGGGTCATAACATCATGGAGTTAAAAACACCAAATGAAGCTGCCAGTCGATATCATGTCACTTGAGGCTCACAGCAAGTGACACTGCATGTCCTTTCGTGGGTCAAGATGTCCAAAATACAACTATTGTTCAAACCCTCTGAGCTAGAGCCACAGGGGGACTCAATATTTCAAAAAATAAAAATAAAAATCAAGAACATCTCATTAAGATTTCTTATGCTTTCACTGATTCAACTATTATTTAGTAGGTTCTTAAATTAATCATATGGTCTATAACATATTACAAAAGTGCTTATGTTTGACCAGAAGTCACAAATATAGCTTGACAGAAAATCAGACATCTTCGTAATTGAGAGGCTGCTAAATGTTTAGCTTGATTAATGACCTAAAACATTTATTGATTATCAATATGTTGTCTTAATATATGCTGTACAATACTCAGCTATAAATCCAAAGCCAAATTCAAGATACTGCAGGAAGTAAAAGGACTCTGTGGTCAAAGAGTTTTTGATACGTTGTAAATCCCAATCATTCCTGTTGTGATTTCAGTCTAGGTCATTGTTGACTGTTATTTAATGTCATATAATTATCCAACAACAACAACAACGACCTTGTTTACAGACACATTTAGATGTGGTTTACGAGCCTACAATTATCATTAGCAGTCTTTTCATTGCAGAGGTTGATTTGGGAATGGTGACAGTCTTGCTCCTGGGTGTTTTAACACCAGAGCCCTACAAAGGCAGTCAGGCTATTCAGTGTGTGCACTTTCCTTTTTCAAATGTCAGGAAACATTTGAACGGATCCCTCTCCTTCCCAGAGGAAACTAAATGACACTGACTATCAGCACTTTCTCTCTGCATGACTCAGAGTCTGACTCCTTAAGAATCAATACTGAGGAGGTACACTTTAGTCTTGTGAGGCCATCGGGTGGCTTTGAAAGCTGCAGTTCAGAGCTGCTGATGAGTGCTTCTGGCAGAGGAACACTAGAGGAGTTACATTGTTCAATGGATCAGAAAATGTGTGTGTGAGGAATATGTGATGTGTGTGTCCTTAGGTGTTTGCAAGGCGCAACATCGTGATACTAGCCAATCGTAGAGGGACTCAGGCGGAGGGTTGTACAAAAAGGTCAAACAAAAGATAAAAGGCTATCTTTGAGGCCTTGGTGAACTTGTGAAATTTGAGACTACACATCTAAGAAAGTCTGCCTCACACACTCCTGTTGGGATGCCCTTGAACAACTTCAAATATGCAGCTAGCAATTTGAAGATGTTGCAGTAAGATCTGAGACTTCGGGCTTTTTTCCAAAAACAATTCTGATATGTTAGATCAAAATAAATGGGTAAAGACTTGACCAAAGCCACACCAAATACCCTCCAATATCACATTTATTACATGAGAGCAGCATAGAGAACCTAGAGTCTCTTACCAAAAGTAGAAGCTTTGAAAACCTACATATCCTAATTAAATAAACGACTCATAGCTAAGTTTAGGAAGCATGAGATGAATCCATAAGCTTTTTCTAACAGTTGTTTTTATGCTGTGTTAACAGAGCAGTTGTGCATCAATTCCAGGGAGCCATCTTTGAAGCTGCTTTGATATTAAATCAGACTTAAGCTGGTTTATTCAAGAAGTTTATAAGCTTATATTTAAATGCATGTCAGTCATCCATTTCCTGAGATGGACACCTTATCATTCAGAGCTGCATACAAATGCATTGAACACATAAATAATGTGCAGGTACAGCAGCAGCAGCAGAATAATATATTTTCAAGGCTAACGGTTTTCTTTAATACAGAATTTGAAACTGCAGGACATAAAGAGTAGTAGAACAGGAAGGGGGGGTTGGCAACTTTCAGCGACAATCATTTATTTAGATTTTAGATAGAACTATTCAGTATCGATGAGCTGTATTGATCCGAATGAATTACCCTTAGAATATTAGAAAGGATGTTCCTAAGGTGGTCGGTGAACTTAAATGTGCAAATTTGGAAAATTAAGGTCTTTATCAATATATAAATATATATATATATATGGATAAAGCCAGTCAATATACATTTATTTGACGGTTGAAGAATAAGTGAGAATAAACATTAATCCTGTATTCATTGTGAGAATCCTCAATATCTGAATAAAGCTTAAAGGTGGGGTAGGTAATTCACTTCAGAAACATTTTTTGTTATATTCCATGGAATGCTCTTAACATCCCGATAGCAATGAATCCATGAAAAAAAAGTTCATCTGTGGAAGCTGTAGTACTGTGAAGACCACGACCAATCATTTTCACCGGCCCGGCTAAAATAACTGGATGGCCTACCTGCCTGTCAGCCTTCCATCTGTGCACACATTTATCTCGTGCCCTCATTGGTCATGTGCGCGTTCGTGTGTGTTGGAGGAGGGGCTCTGTAAGGAAGTCTGAAGGAAGAGGCAGATTTCTTCCGGCTGTGTATTTTCAAATTCTTGCGCACTCGAGCTGGTTTCTCCATTCTTACCTACCCTACCTTTAACCTTGATTCATTGTGGAAAAACAAGCGTTTAAATGATAAAGGGAACTTCAGATATGTCCTTTTTGCTCATATTATGTAGACGTTTGTTTTGTTAAGGAGGAACACAAGGTCATGGGAATTGATTCGGCACTCTAGTGGGTGGTAATCACCTGGTGTCATTCTCTGAAGTAGAGTGACAAAAGCTGATGAATCCAGATGAGAGCAATTGGTTCTTATTGATTGTATTTTTTTAAACCACCTTAATAATCAGGAAGACGGAGGAAATGAAGAGATGTTGTGGAAAATCCGGCACAGCTTAATATCAACGAGGTGTTTTTATGATTAGATTCTGGTGTAGCTTTAATTTAGAGCCTAGACAAAGAATCATGAACCTTGTTGATCAGATGAAAGGCAAAAAAAAACTATGTAAGACAAGATAATGGTATTTTCATTACAGTTATACTTTATTTCACTATCATTTCACTGGATTTATATACATGAACAATACCATGGATGTAGAAACATTTTCTAAATTGCTATTTACAGTTTAATGTGTTTCCTCTTACAACTTCTCTGTGTGTGTGTGTGTGTGTGTGTGTGTGTGTGTGTGTGTGTGTGTGTGTGTGTGTGTGTGTGTGTGTGTGTGTGTGTGTGTGTGTGTGTGTGTGTGTGTGTAAGCC